GAATGATGATGGCATTAAGAGCTTTTTCCAGGAGTGCACGAGCTTTACATTAAGTGATTACCTTCCACACTGTCACAAATACATTCTTTCTTGCTCATTTGTTAATTGGCTTTAGAATATCAACCATTTTCTAGTGCGTGGATTATGAGAAGATCTTGTTTTACGATTTACTTTATGTATGATATCATTAGCTCTCAGACTAATTTTGTGGTTTTATTGACATTGACCATATTCTACTTCTCCGTTCCACCAACATTCAATTTTTTATAGTAAAAAGTATGCTCAATACATATCCTATACATGATTTTCTTGAATTTCTTGACATTCAATTGAGCATAGTCTACTTGATGGCCCCAAAAGAGCATATCATCCTACTTTTCGTTTCACTGTTTTTGTTATTTTAGACAGCCTCGATAGATATCATGAATTTTATTTTGCCAGGGATTCAGATGAAAGCTGAATTCCATTAATAGTTTTAAAAAAATTTCCGTTCAACTGGTTTGGTTTATTATTCAAGGACTCTATTGTCTACTTTACCTGTGAGAATGAATCCAAAATAGGTTCCTAATATGTTTTGCTAGCTGGTTTTTCTTCAGCTATTTCATTCGTTCTATGTGTATATTTGGTTGACGATAATTTTATCAGTTAAAAGAAATTAAAATTGCAAAAATGTCTCCAGCTAAGCTCTCTTCGTTAGAAACTTTCATTTCATGATTTACGAGACTCGTGAAGTAATTTGTATGTCTGGGAATTTGCAGATTCTTCTTAATCCCTTATATTTGCCTGGCTCTCGAATCACATCATCACATTTCGACACAAAAGTACGAGCCCTGGCACGGAAGTATTTGTAGAAGCCACTATTGAGCTCTTGTGGTCTGGGGGACAACTTGCAAACCCATAGCTTTGCTGCCAGAGTCCCACGCGGTTCATTCTTCGTTTACTTGAAATAGTTGTATCGCATTATTATAATTATTTTTATTTTTATATGATTTGGCTGTAAGGGTAGCTTTTTGCTCGCTATCAGTAACATGGTGGTTTTGGCTTTGAAGTGAGTGTATGGGTAAACGATGTTATTGTAGTGACATCCATTTGCAATACATGCTAAATTTGAGTGGCTTCGTGGTTGCAAAGACGAAAGCTCGTAACTGCACACCGTTTGAAGCCCCTCTAAATTGGGATGGCCTTACTTGTAGCAATGACGTGCGCGCGCGTGTTTCCACCCACTTTGATATTCATGAAAGCAAGAAATCAATGACCCATTCTCAGACTTTTTGCTTCTTGGTGCAACATGCATTGACTATTTCACTTTAACGCATAAACAAAAACGCAACAAAATAAAATCTCAACAATGCAAGACGCGAGCAAAATATAACTCACCTGAACAAAATGCACAAAGATATTATTATTGCTCAATTAGCAACCTCAATGTCCTGTGATTGACTGATTGAAATTAAACACAACAATAAATCTCAATTCTAAATGCAGTACTGGGGGAATCATAGGCAGTAAATATATTTGCAGTACTTATTGCATACAATCATTATTACCCAACTTCCTTACAAACATACCCAAATGCACAGAAAAAATTTAATCCATTCCATCCTTACAAGTTTCGAAAAACCTCTCTGTAAACAACATATATAGCTGATGACTTTTTTTTGGAGTCAGTATCATAACAAAAAAAAAAATCTTTAAAATCCATCTATTCTTCTTACCCTTGAAAGAGCAAAATATAATTGGCCATGTGTAAAAACAAGCTTACATAGATATAAGCCCACATGACATAATGATAAACCTTGACTTTTATTAATGGTCATTGCAAATGAAAGTGTGATTGGAAATTGTCTTCTTTTCATCAGGAAAGGCAAACAACATTTTAATGGATTCATATCCATTCGGTGAATTAGAACCTTTTGATTAGGTTTTGAACCATTTAATGTTATGGCTTCAATCACAAATTTACTAAGATGACTAATACACAATCTGGTTCCATTACATAATCCTGCAGCTTGGTCAATATTTCTTAAAAACATCACAGTTGCTCCTACCTTTAAAGTCAACTCATGCAAAGGCATCCCAGATCTACTGATTGTATTAAAAAATTCAGTTGTATGGAGATCATCAAAACCATCACTGTCTTGAGATGATCTGCAAATTGTATCACAACTAAGATACTCGATTGATTCCCTTGGCGACAAGGAACACATGTAATCATTCACTTGATTAACAAATTCAATCGTTGATGCTAAAATTGCCCTATCATTGAAATAAATGGTATTTGTTAAATTATTTAGTAGATTTGGATACGTCGATGACACAATTGTAGCCACTGGATCTGTACAATCACCTATTAGCAATTCATGAGGTATTTCAATCTCTACTATACCATCATGTGGCGTTCCTAACTTACCATCCCCCACATCTAAAAGCCACTGTGAGAATTTTTGCAATTGACTATAGTCATTGTCAGATGAAGTTGAAGATAGTCGCATATTCTTAGTCAGTTGGAAGATGAGGCAATGATCCCAAAGGTAAGATGAATTAATACATGCATTAACAATATCTGCTCTTGTACCATTTGGGATTATTGGAAGTATATGATGAAAATCACCACCCATCAAAATGCACTTGCCACCAAATGGATAATTAACATGCATAATATCCCTTAATGATCGATCAAATGCTTCAATGCAGTAACGCTGAACCATGGGAGCTTCATCCTATATAATTAACTTTGTGCATTGAATTAAATTTGCTAATGGAGAATTTTTCTTGATATTGCACAGACTCTTCATTCACATAAATGGGAATTGCAAACTTTGAATGTGATGTGCTACCAGAGGGTAATAGTGTGGCAGCAATTCCGCTTGAAGCAACTGTAAGAACACTATTTCCTTTGGCATGAAGAGTTGATGTTAACCCATTCCACAAAAATGTCTCCCCTGTGCCTCCATACCCGTTTACAAAGAAAAAAGCTCCAGTTGAAGAAGTCAGTGAAGGCAAAACGGTCTCATAACTTAGTTCTTGCAATATGAGATAGTTTGAAACATCAATTATTGGACATGACAAAGGAGTGGGAAGGGAAGGAAAATCTTGAAAACTCTTTCCATTTTCTTGCAGAGATAATTCAATCTCTTTAAGGGCATCTTGCTTTCTCTTAAAATCTAAAGTTTCAACACCTACAACATTGTAGCAAAAAAGATTCATTTTATAAGCATAACAGTAAAACTAATGAATAAGTATAAATCCATTCAACATATATAATATTAGAACTTGTGTAAGAAAATATAAAATGCAAACTTACTTGAGGACAAATGATCAATTTGTGATGTGTACAATAAATCTTCTAAAAGTATTCCTGAAATCTCTTTCCAAACAAAGTCAAGTCGACTTAAGTAAGAACAAAGAAGCATGCTTACAAACATCTTCCTTAATAGCCTACCAAGTGTCCAATTGGAAGCCTCTTTTATAGCAGATATGTATTCATTGTCATTATCAAGTAATCCAAGTGCAAAACATGCATATCTAAAAGTGGGATAAATAATACCATCAACAGTTCCAATATCTTCAAATGAAGAAGGACCTTTAACTTTTGTCAAAAGAATAGGAAGGTAGTAAAGTTCTCCAGATGATGATGGTGCATGGATAATTCTGCCAACTGCAAATCTTTTTTTTCTATGTTTCCATAATCGCTTACTCCGTTGATAAACATAATGAAGTGGAAACTCAGAACGTGTTTTGGCAAAATCATCCTCCTCATTTTTCTTCATCCAAGCAAGGAACATTGATTCACACACTTTGGGCTTATCCAAGAGTTCAGCAACATCATCAGTATTTGAATAAATAACATTTTGCTGATTGGAGAGATGAAAACTCAACCTTTTAATAGCAAGATACCGATAGTGTATATCAAAAGCAAAGATTCGCCAAGCTGCTTCACACACACACACACACACATGAAGTTGTAATATTGTTGAATCTCATCAATTAGTTGCTTAGCAATTTCATCTTGTTTGCTATCATACATTAAGGCAACCACCCGATTAGTCACTTTAGTAATATGCTTAAATAAGTACTTGATAGCAGTAGATTGATTGCACTTCTCAATATTAATATGAGCTTCAATATTCAACAACAATGCAAGGTTGTAAGGAACAACAAATCGATTGTCCAAATGATGGCCTCTCACTTCTATTGTTCTACCATCATATCTTCTTATATATGTGGGATATCCATCCTCATCAATAATTGTCTCATTAACAAACTTCTTAGAAAAATATTTTCTACACTTGTTATCCTTCATGCAAGGTGATTTAGGATTCATTCGACCACAAGGCCCATGTACCATATATCTCTTCACCAATTCATATAGTTTGGGACTTGAGTGCCTATCAGGGATTGCTGCAGATATGATATTGTCCATATTGTTTTGATCTTTTAATTTATCACACTCTTCAAGCCACAATAGTATATAAGCATGAAGAAGACCTCTTTTTTGAAACTCTATAGTATACACCTCTATATTCATATGTTACACTGATTACAAGAAATTAATTGTAATGAAAGAAAAATTCATTCATACCTGCACTCATAACACCAAATATCTTCTTCTTTTTAATGGTTGACATCAATGATTTGAGTTTTATTTGGAATGCCCTACTCAAGATTTCTGGTCTATGTGGTGAAGACACTGAATATCTTTCACAATATCTTGTTATCTCAAGCCAAGCTGGATTACATGTGAAAGTGATAAATATATCTGGATATCCTACAAATCTACATATGGCCGTAGCATCCTTGTAATTTTGAATCATATAACATGCACCTCCTATAAAAGAAGAGGGCAAAATTATACATTTCCTAGTTGAAGATGCACTTCTCTCTCCACTCAGCAATGCATCGTGTAACATACGATTTTTTTTTCAAAAAAAAAACTGTAATTAAATCTATATAATAATATATTATTATTAAAAAAATAAAAAAAATAAAAAGTCATCTTTTCCACCGAATTCGGTGGAAAAGATAGGGGAGGGGGAGTGGTTGCATTAATGAGGAAAGAATTTTGGAAGAAGATTTAATGAACAAAGAAAAACATGGGGTAAGGTTGAAAAACAATGGAAGGGTATTAAATGAAGAAGGAAAAGGGAGGAAGAAGCGGATGGAAGTGGAAAAATGAGAAGGGAGCGATGGAGGGATATAAATGAGGGGGGTGTTAAACGTTCTCACCAGTTATATTTTCAAGCCAGAAGAAAAGAGATAGAGAGAGAGAGAGCGAAAGACAAGAAAAAGAGAGAGAGAGAGAAGAGAAGAGAAGAAGAGAGCGAGAAGTTGAGCTGAAATACGTGATCTGATAGTCGGGACAAGTTTTGGGGATCATTTAGGTACACAAATATACTTCTCTTTATCAAATTTCCTTTATAAATATTTCCTATATATTTATAGCTTTATATTATTAGTATCATTATAATGTTTAGAGAAAATTTTACTGTGGGTATAGAGTAAATATAGAGTTTTGACAATATATGACCGTAGAAATTTAAAGATACATTATTAAGGAATTTTAATCGGTTTATTTTTGTTGAATGATTATTTTGAGAATTTTAAACTAAGATTTTAGTTGAAAAGTTTATTATTTAGACTTGTAATATGTTTTTACCGATTAAATTTGAGTTAAATAATTTATTTGAGTTATTTAATATATTATGGAGGTTTTAATCGGTGTAAATATTGAATAAGTCAAATATATATTTTTGAAATAATTTTTGAAGGCTTGAAAAATTATAAATTGAGAATTTTGTAAAATTAAATAAAGCTACAGTTTGTTTATAATTAAAAATATATATATACTTTTGTTAAATTTAAATAGCCTTATATGTAAATTATGTTTCAAAATAATATCTATTATAAATGCCTAGATTTGGGAGAGTTAATATATTTATGTAATTTTGGTTTAGAGAGTAGTCTTAGAATTTTAGAGTAGCTTTGGAGTAGTTTTGAGTTTATATTAATAAATATTTGTGTGCAATTTTGTAGACTTGAGAATTTTGGAGTAATCTTTGTGTGAATTTTTGTAAGCTAAAGAGTACCAGGTAACTCTGAAAATTCTTTCTTGTACATGTGAATTGTGTATGATTATATTATGAATTTACTATATTTTTATATATTGAAATACAATATTGTGATTTTTCAAATGAATGTTTTGGTATGTTATTTGATTTTGTTAAGATTTATTGCTATTAATTATGATGAATAATTAAATATATTGATGGATATGGAATTGTTATGAGTGGTTATTAAATGGTATATAAGTTTATTGCTATCTTATTTTTAATATTTGAGGACGTATTCATGATGTACTATTATTGGCATCTGACATGCATTGTTGGGCTAAGGATAGAAGGAGATTGCATGGATATAAAATTACCACGTGGTATGCCATCACTCGGTGCACAGTGTGGCACTTGTCAGGGCCCCTTCTTCCATGTTTTCCTTTGGCCGGGAATTCATTGGAGCTGTGGGACATGTGACACCTCCCTATTCACAAAGGAGGGGAGCCATAGTCCGAGCTTGAGCTCTATATCTTTGGCCGGATATATCTCTTGTATCGGTGAGCTTGGAATAATTCAGTAAAATGGATTAGTTCCTATCGGACTATGTGTTAGCCTATGGCTCCAGTCAGCGGTATAAGGGTGGACGGTGATATAAGGGAGGCATCATATTGCATTATTTTTGGATATATTAGAAAAATGATATTGGTATATTGTTGGGAAAAATGAAATTGAATTGGATGTCTCAAATCCGTGATTTTTAATATATTTATACACACATATAAACGGATTTTTGGTTTATCATATATGATTTGCTTGTATAGGTTAGAATTTCAGTAGTTACTGAGACGTTAGATCTCACCCCCTATATTAACAATTTTTCAGGCGAAGGATCTAGTAGGAATCAAGGGAAGGCACCAATGGAGTGAGCCGTGAAAGCTTTTGTGCTCCTCAAGCACATGCTATGTTATATTTTTATTTGCCATGACTATAAGACTTTAATAGTTTATGTTGTTAAGTTATGTTAGAAATGTTTTGAAATTTTAACTTAATTGCAGTATTAAAAATATGTATAGACTTTTAAATTAAATATTTTATTGCGTATATTGATATAATTATGTGAGGTGTTACACATCGGACAACCCTTGGTATAAATCAACTCTAAGCTCTTTTTGATGTTTTCTCACCCAAAGTAGCTCTTGAGACTCAATCATTGTATAGCCATCAACTATGAATTGTTGTAATAATCTCCCTGCATGTAATATGGTTGACGTCTCTATTGTGTCCCTGCTGCAATTACTTAGTAAACCAGAAATAACCAGCCAAGAATGTAACAGTGCAAACAATAAATGGAAAAAATCCTGAGGCTTTGATATTAATATTCAAGAACTGAATCAAAGATACAACAAGCTTCAATGATTCAAGCCAAAGCCATATTTCCCTCTAAACCAAAAGAAAATCACAACAACGATAACAACTTCTACAACACAGGATTCGAGAGGCCAGATCTCCCCCTCACCAACTCTCTTCTCAAATCTGTCCCAAGGGCATTACCATTTCATTACAAGCCTTATACGTCCCCAAAAGCAGTCCTACAACCCCTACAAGGTGTCAGACCCAAAAGGTTGGTAGCTGGCTGTAAATTAGAGTTGCTCCTCATTTTCTGGAGCTCTAGGACAATTGCTTTGACCAGTGGGCTTCCCTTCATCTACCCTTGGTTGCTTCCTCAATTTCCTCTTATATGTCTTCTTAAAACCAACAGCTATATCAGCTGCTGTATCATTTCCCACTCCTACAAGTTTCACCTTGTCCTCAAAGGAAAATTCGGAAATTGTTTAATTATAGTTGCAGCATTTTCCCATGAATTTTCAAATTCAGGCAGATCTTTCCATTTCACAAGAACTTCTAATTCACCATTGAGAAGCTTTCGGACTTTGCCAATGTCTTGGGGCTGTACTTGTAATTCCAACTCCTCAGATAGTGTAGAGGGAAATGTAGGTGTCACAATTGCTGAGTGTACTGACTTTTTCAGATTTGAGACATGAAAAACCGGATGAATTCGGGCTGTGGGAGGGAGTTCGAGCCCGGATGCTACAGCCCCAACCTTTTCTGAGATCTTAAAGGGACCATAAAAGCGAGGGCTCAATTTTTCATTGATTCTTCGAGCCAAAGTTCGCAGTCTATAAGGTCTGAGTTTGGCATAAACCTGTTCACCAACTTGGAAATGACCTTCCCTTCTATGTTTGTCGGATTGCCCCTTCATCTTACCATTAGGATTGAGTAATCCTAAATCTGACTTTATGCCTTCAACTTCGACAACTATAAAAGAAGCAAATTAACTTTCGATGAAAAACTAATGAACTATTCTGTAACACTTAACACATCTTCTTTGTCATTTAGGTCAGTACCAACTGGAGATATCACGCCTTGGGTACCAGTCATTGCTACAGAATCCTCTTAATGCATAAGCTTCTTGCCTCTGGTTGCTGATATTCCCCTCCGTGGCTGTACTTCTGGATTATAATTCTCAAAGGCACAGAATCTTCTACTTCTGCGCCTAAAAACACTATTTTTGAAGGCCATTTCTCCTATAAAAAAAACATTCAGTAAATCCAATAAACCGCCCAAATGAAGACAATCATGTGATTTAAAACTTCTACTGTAAGGGGCTACTGAATATAATACCATCTGGTAGATAGGTCCCAAACTTGGTGTCCAGGTTAGTTGCCACATTAGTAGTGTTCTCTAATGCACTCGCTCTTGCTCAACGTTTAAATCCCACACTTTTTTTGTCACCCAGTACTGATTCTGCTTGTGTATTCATCATGCAACCCTTGTCACCAGATGGTAAATTTGACCAACTTCTTTGAGTCTCACCTGCTTTTAGAGGCTGGTACTGATTGTGGTTATCTTCAACATAAACATTGCTTAATATACTGTTTGTATCTTGAGCTACATCATATTATCCCCAAAAAAAAAAAAAAAATTATAACCACAATGTCGAATTATTTTCCTTCATATGGGTTATCTAAATCGCTTCTCGATAAACTGCACAACTAAAGTTAAATGGAAATGAAGCATACTTCTCTCTCGAGTTGGAGTTACAGATGAACAAGGAACTGATGAACTAAATGATTAACTTGCTACAGTTGAGGATATTGAACTTCTGCAGCAGCCATTTTCTGCTACAAACTTCACAGATTTCCCATCCATTGGATAAGCTGCTTCCTCGTGCACGATTGCTGTCATGGAACTGAGTTGGTATGCCAAAATGATGGAGAAAATACTAAGCGAAGTTTACTTCAAACCATCAAGGAGCATGCATATCAAATTATAATCTCTTCGACATATATTCTGACAAATTTTGGATAATCAT